AAAAAAAAAAAAAAAAGGGAAAATAAGGGTTGAATAATTCCTCATGAATAGGCTTAAAAACAAAATTGCAAGAACCGAGTTAAATGTTTCATTATCCACTATACTTTACACCATGTCATGGTTTACTTATCGAACTTTCAAAATCGTCCCATCACCCACTGAACTTTAATCTGTTACCCTCCATTACACACCAAGTGGCTGCCGTCTTAGTTAATGCTGACATGGAAGGCGAAAATATGAGTTGCCTATTATCTTCTTCCAAATGTTTAATGGAACACCATCTCAATGCCACATCGTACAATCAAACACACCTTTTCAAGTTTTAACTCTTAAACATGCCTTTATTGTCTCCAAACAAAAACAGAAACAGGAGGAAGGAAATTCCTAAATTGATTTCAAAACTCCATCATCAAACCCCAAACTTGAAATCACCTTCAAAACCCTAACTAGAGATGGGCGCGGGTTGGGTCGATTCGGTTCGGTTCGGTTCTTTTAGAACTAAATCAAACCAAAATTTTCGGGTATCTGGTAAATGGAATGGTCGGGTCCAAATATAATTATGAAACCGTTCGAATTCGGTTCCGTTCAGTTTGATTCGATTCGATTCGATTCTGTACTATAATTAAATTTTTTAACATTTATAACAACATTGTATAAATACAACTAATGACACATTCAATGGTTTTGAAATGTTAGAGACTAGTAGACTACCTTGTTCAAATGATCTCTACGGTCAAAGTTTCGATCGACGGAGGTCACAGCTTCGATCAGAGGTCACAGCGTCGACCGACAATTGTATATATTTTGAAATGTCAGCGAGGCTGCGAGAGTGAGTGCGAGAGTCAAGATAGCGTTATGCACTTTAGTGTAGGTGTTTAGGATTATTTAGTGGATTGGATCTTGTTGAACTAAGAAATGAAACAATAAAATGAGTAATTGGGCCAAAAATTAAAAAATTAGAAATAGAAAAAATTATTGGGCCAAAAATTTGGATTTAAAAATTTTTAATTTGTTTAGAAAAAATTAAAATTAAAATAATTTGATTTATTCAATATAAAAAAATTAGAAAAATTCGACTCTTGGTCTAAAATCGAGAATCGAACCGTACTCGTCGATTCTCAATTCAGATATCCGTTCGGATATTTAATTTGACAAAAATCGTATGATTCAGTTAGATTCAATCGATTCGATTAAAGAGATTTGCCCTGTCATAACCCTAACCCACAAATCAAGAAAATCAGTTACCCAAATCCTGTTCGAATATTTAATTTGACAAAAATCGTAAGATTGAGTTAGATTCGATCGATTCGATTAAGGAGATTTGCCCTGTCATAACCCTAACCCACAAATCAAGAAAATCAGTTACCCAAATCCTTAAATCACCGCCATTGTTAACCGCTTGAAGAGCGACCCAAGCGTGAAGAAGCAGCACCCATTGCATTTCAGACTCCGAGCAAGGCCTCATCGTGGTAAAATGGATGGACTGTTTGAAGGTAAACTCGAAACAACTTTTGTTTTTGTGTATGAGCATATTAAAAACTGTGAAGCTTATTTTAAGAATTATGCAACTATGGTTGTATGATTATTGTAGGTGAGATAACTGTGAGAAATTAGATAGAGGTTTTTTGTGCGTGTGTTGTTGAATTAATGATTCTATATTACTATTATTACTGTGTTGTTAGAAAAAAACTAACTTGTAAAATTATATTTTGGAAAGAAAAATAAGCTTAAAGAGATCTTCTAGCCTTCCCAGTTTGAATTTTGGCTTTCTCGAGTTTGACTTCTTGGCCATGCCAAACTTGGAATACAAATGGGATTGATGCTTTGATTCAATTTACTTGACAGTCATTTCCTATATATGCTTGAGGCCTTATTTGTCATCGTATTAGTAATGATATTAACGCACACAGTGTATTTTTCCGGCTCTTCTATTCTGTTCCAATAATCGAAATGACGACTCTGACAGAGAAGAAGAAGAAGATGACGATGAGATGACATAGAAAGTGCGGATGATGAGAGGGAAAATGACAGAGCTGTATTGCTTGCCGAGGATGAAGAAAGAGAGGCAGCTGAAATTGGGTACAAAGCTATCAGCCCGCATCAAAAGTCCGGCCGGGTCTTCAAACCATACGAACCGGCTCTTGCTGTGGTTCAGGTTCATTGAATCATGGCACCCAATTTTTCATTTCCTTTTGTTTCTTTGATCTTTTTTGAATACGGAACAAAGATTTAAATTCAATTGAGTTTCAGGGAAGTGGGGTAGCTAAGAGCATGTTTGGCCTAGTTTAAAAGGTTTACTTATAAGTAAATAAGGAAGTTTTATAATAAATAATTCGTTTTAGTAGTGAAAGTTGGAAATAATCGAGTTATGACCAGAGTAACTTGCAAAGAAAGTAGCTATTTATTATATATTTATTTTTTTTACTTTTTATTAAACTATCTAGTTATCGTGTTAGGACACAAAAAGTTACGAAAAACAACTTCTATTTAACTTAATATTAGCCAAACGTGCCGGAGCATTACCGACGAAATACCAATTAATTTAGCGTGCCATGCTGAAAAAGGGCTGCACTTTTACTTTCCTTCTGCATAATAATTCGGTTCTTGTAAAGATCACAACTTCGTGCACATGTGTGTAACAATGTTTGCTCAAATGATTTTTTTGCTTCTGTTGTTGTGGATTGCTTAGATTGGGTCGCATCAGTTTAAGGTGAGCAATGGGGATTGCGTATACGCAGAGACATTGAAGTACTGCGACATCAATGGTAAGGTTATTAAAATGACTATTAGTTTGCATTAATTCTCTTTTATCGGTCCTATCATTTATCAAAAGTGCGGAAAAAATTATTTCTTATTGCTTATAAGATTCCTAGTCATTTTCATTACTTTATATAATAAAGTGTTGAATCTTGAGATATTCATTTAATCTCATCACAGATTCACAGGGTAGCTGAATATGAAATTGTAGTTTGCTTATTTGTAGTTATGAAATGGAAAGATTTGATTGCTTGAACTTTTCTGGGAATACTTTGCAAATATCTTGGACTTAACATTACTAATTCTTTGTTCCAAGCAAAACCATGTGCAATTTATAATTAACCCAAAGTTTCATATTTTCCTACAGCATCATGCTGTTAGTTATTAAAAGTTAAAATTCTGATAATGCTTTATGATTGAAGGTATAGGTAGTAGGTCATAAATTTGACATTTGAAGGTATAGGTAGTAGGTCATAAATTTGACATAAGGCTTTTTGAACCACATCACCATATATTTTGTTTGGGGCAAGCTAGATACCTCATTATCTCTCTCAATGATGTTCTTTTAGAAATCAACTTCATGTATTCGTATATGTTTTTGTGTTCATGTATCTACGTGTTGATGTTAGCTATGCAGCTGTTCATGCTGTTGTTGAGGAGCATGTAAGATATTTCTAGATAGAATACTTAATTCATCTGCAGCTTGTCGGAGATCTGACTATTCTTCATATATACATACATATCTGAAAATGGAACTGAAATCTATTGCTCTCATCTCCTGGCTCCTCCCAAAGACATAAAACCAGGTACAAAAAATTTGAGTCTGTCAAGCTTTATCAATTATTTTATCATCCTCTGTTCTCCTTTACTATGAAAACTTATATCCCTAAGTATTTATTCTGAGGAAAATGATTGTGGAATTAGGTGAGCTTTGCAGAGAACTATGGCAATTATAAGCTTTGTGAATCTTTTCATTTTATTTTCTTTTATGATATTGGTTTGTTAAAAAATTTTAGTTGGAGAGAAAAATATTATTATTATTATTATTATTATTATTATTATTATTATTATTATTATTATTATTATTATTATTATTATACCTGAGTGATAATGAACTTAAAGTTGTACAAATAAATTTGTGATCCTAAGGACTGGATTAAGGTCTCTACGAGGCAATGATAGTATATATGATTATGAAATTTCACTATGCTTCAACTATTGATTGGAATTAAATGCTTATTGATTACAGTTTTACGGTTTATCCCCCTTCCCGTGCCTTGTCACAGCCCACAAGGAAGTATCTTTAATCCTTGTGCAGAAGACATGGATGAGGAGCTACTTGCTTCTTTGATAGGGGAATTGACTTGCTGTCAGGACATCTTGCTTTCTTTCTGATTTGCTATATTTACCCATAGTCATTTATCTCTTGTGGGAGACATAAACAGTTTGGCCTTTGATTGATTTCATTAGCTAATGATGGGTGCTATCCTGATTTTCTATCTATGATTTTTGTTGCGATACCTTGTGACAAGATTTTCCAATTGAAACTATTTTAAACCAAAAGTGCATATGGGCAAATTAGGATTAAGGAGCTTCCCCTCCCCTGTGGCTGAAGCTTTGCTTGTAAGTTGTAACAGGATTTTCTCTTCCATCTGATAATCTCACCATCATGAGTTTTATTATCCAACGTTTCTTTTCTCTTGCAGGCATTAAATGCAAAAGTGATCATATTCAAGAAAAAGAGAAGTAAGAATTATAGAAGAACAAAAGGGCATAGACAGGTAATTGAAATTTTTATCAATTAGAATTTTACTGCATCAATATTGTTTTCATCTGTTTCTTCTTCTCGTGCATGCTCCTGCTCTTTCTTCCATATGTCTAAAAAAAAAAAAAAGAGAGAGAGAGAGGCTATTCTCTAATTAAAACCTAAAAATTGATTCCCCTGTTTTCCCGGTTTCAGGAGTTGACCAAATTGAGGATGACAGATATTAGGGATATCTTCGAAGACACAGAAGAAACACAAGCTGCCATCTTTGAAGACAGAGAAGAATGAAAAGTCAGTAAAGATAACGATCATGGCTTAATCATGACTTGTGCTCACAGCGTTGGATCTTTTTGATGTACATTTTTTTTCTTTAACAGCTCCACTGCTGCCCACGCCCCCAAGGGGTAGGGTATGAGGCAGGCTGTATTCTCGTTTTATTTTCTTCTCCATTTTCCCAGAACTGATATCTGATAGTTATTTGAAACTTGTTGTAAATGCTGCCTGAGACATCGTTGCATCTTCGTCCGTTCTCTCACCATATAAGCCGGATGTTATGTGAGCAAACGCCCCAGGGAAACAGCATTGTTGTGAAGCTTCAAGCTCTGTATTAGTGGTGGAAATGATGTGAATTTTTTTAAGCAGATTTTTCCTTCATATCATCTTTAGTTTTTTATTATCCTTTTTATTTTTATTTATTTATTTGTCATTGCCGTGGTAGAAACGCATGGTCGTGGAGGGTTTATATGAATTTCAGGGCAACCAATAATAATAATTTGAGACTGTGTATATATAAAAATTTTGGGTGCTAATTTTTCTTCAGAACATTGCATCATTGTATTCCCGTTTGAGCCATATTAATATAAGAATGAAAATAAAAAAATATAGCTGTTATGGTTCTCATACAAGAGATATATTTTCAAATATGGTGGTTTCATGTGATGAGTAACGGTCATATTTTTCATTTTAATGAATAAATAATGGGAACCAAAAAGGGGCTGAATTTGTACTTTTTCCTTTTAATATTTTGGAATCTTTGTAGATCATATTGATATTGTCTAGTGTTTGTAGTTTTACCAAATAAAGGGTACGTAATTGGCACAATTCGTCTCTATTTCATCTGCTTTCATTTCAATATTGACATTTGGTTCATTGAAGTCACCTTTTTTTGCATGAAATATTTTTATTGTCCAATATTTCCATTAAAAATTTACAGAGTCTTCAAATATACAAAAAGTAAAGAAAAAGATTAAAAAATAATAATAATATTCAGAATCCTAGATCTTTTGAACGGACTCGTGTGCGTACGTACGTACTTAATTGCCTTTTTTTTTTTGGCCTCATTAACCTCGCGACATAAACAGGAAAACTTGATCGTAGGATCTCGTTGCCTAAACTTCATCTTGTTCAGACAAATAGTCAAAGGTTGCACACGCATGCTATAGACCCCTTTAAAAGGTGAAAGTTTGAAAAATTAAGGATATAGAGCATTTCGTTGGGTGTCCTAGAATTGGTTATCAAGCATGGCTAGTCCGGTCGCACATGCACCTGCGCCGGCGGAGACTAGCCGGAAAATTAACCGTTCCACAAGGAACAAGTGCCCAACACCATTCCTGTCGAAAACTTACGATCTTTTGGAGGCGGAGGAAGAAAAAAGAGGTGGCGAAGAAGCTTCGGAGATTGAAAGAAAAAAGATAGTTTCATGGAATTCTCAAGGCAATGGTTTTATTGTATGGTCTCCTGCAGAGTTTTCTGAGATAATGTTGCCTAAATATTTCAAGCACAGTAACTTCTCTAGCTTCATTCGACAGCTAAATACTTATGTTAGTCCTGCTCTTCCCTCTCTTGATATATATATATATATATATATATATATATATATATATATATATATATATATATTTTTTT